AACTATTTCAGGTTGAAATACGATCAGAAGATTAAGTAATGCTATTTCATCTCTAAACTAACTTCAAAAATATATCCATTTAACTGTGAAATTCTATCTTACATTTCTGTGACACTACAATCTGTTTTCTGACAACCGCAAGACACGTGGAAATAAAATTGACTAATGTTTCACTCTGTATTTCACAGAATCTGTAGATAAGAGACAACCGGATACATGTATAGGATACGTATTGGAGAGTAACGATAAACCAATTATTTTCGTCATATTTGAATTTATTTAGATTTATACAAGATTTTTATTTATAATTACATTAAATATTTATAAAGTTTATATGGTTTATTTCGCAATAGTGTGAGGAGATTAATATTTTAATAGCTAGTAAATATATAAATAAAAGCTATAAACTTAATAATACACCATATATATATTTATATATTAGTATTGAAAAATATTTTAACTTTATTTTTAAATAACAAAATAAAGTTATAACTATTTTAATTGATTTTATATATATGTGTCGTATAAACTTTGTTTCACAATAGTATGAGAATATGAATATATTAATTGCTAGTAAATATATAAATAAATGCAATAAACGTTTATGTACTGAAAATATTAAAATTTAAAAATATTTAAAATAAATATTTATTTACTTTTAAATAAACAATTCAAATTATAATTATTTTAATTGATTTTATTTATTTTAATTGATTTTTACTAATGCTGCAAATATAAATATATGTGTCAAGTTTTCCAACTTTGAACTAAAAGTTCTCTTTAAATAATTCGTTTATTTTATGTAAAAATAATATAGCATAAAATGCTCTAGTGACTTTTGAAGTGAAATGAATGCCAATTAAACATTAATTAAATGCACATATAAAAGTACCAATTAATGTATCTGTATATAAGCACATACTAACTAATGTTATACAGTAAAACGCAAGGGCTATTTTTTAATGTTAATTCGTGACTAATCAAATGTAATCAAGTCTAAATTCCTATTTAATTACTAAAATGCATTATTTATATATATATTTTTTTTTTGTTCTTGTAATGTTTACTCACTTGAAGTATTTCAATTTTCCTTATTTGTATTTTAATGATGTAGACGCGGTGACGTTTAATGTAAATGAAACCAAACAATGAACCAAATACGCATGCGATAAAAAAGTTTCAATGCAAATTTAGCGCACATTGCATTTGTAAAGTTTCTATATTTAAATGAAATTTTATAGGTTTCTCTTCTATTAAAAACATTTACAATAAATATACATTAACAACAATGGAATAAAAACTCATTATTCAAAACAACATGTATTGCCACGTGAATATATAATTAATTACTTACTTTTTTCAATACTTTTTTTCATTATATTTCTCCATATATTTTTGTTATTTTTATTTAAGAACCTGAAGACTGTGAAGTCTTATTTAGTTTAATGACTCTGTAATGTAATTAAAATGTATATATTTCGAAATATGTCAATGGCTAGAAAATGAAAGCAATGTTTGTTTATATTTTTCTCGCATGATAGAATTTTTTTTAATACTTGATTGTTACACAAAATTTAATTTTTAGCCCATTTTATTTTTTTTTATTTCAATAAACCTTGACATAAAAATGTTCAAGATAAATATTTTAGAATTAAAGTAGATAAAAATCTTTTGACTTCTGTCAAGCACACATAAACATACTCATATATATATTATAAATACATATAATGAAGCTGCAAAGATTACAAACAGAAAAAATTCTTTGGGTATACTTTCTCTTATTTTGTTTTACAATAATGAAGGCAAGAATGAACGGAAATTTTATTCAAAAAATCTGATAAGTATAGAATTTGTAGGTCTTTCCAAGTTGAAATATGTATGACAAGTATAAGAATAAATTCTTTTCTATGACATTTTATGCTTTTGTTTTTATGTTTATGTGCCAAAAGTAAGACACACGAATAACTCAATTAGCCCTGAAAGAGTCAAAGATAAGCTACAGATACAAAATAGTTATGCTGCCAATAAATTTTATATTCAAATTATAAATAAAATCAAAATTAAATTTAAAAAATAAAATTTTACAGTATAAAATAATATAAAAATATTACAATTCGCGTCATTAATAAAGATAAATGGGTGATTACGGTAGAAAAAGGGATGGTGTGCTATTAATCCGTAACCCCAATTCCTACTCCAATTTTCTGATCATGTTCATGCTGACATTGCACCATTACAATATCATTTGTATCGAACTCTGTAGCACTTTTCTACTGAATTATATTTAATCTAAAAAATAACTATCAGAAACGTTTACCGCAGGTCCAAAACAGTTTCGGCATGTCAATCATATTAGGAATAGGTATGTGCACTTAGACTATTATTGCTCAGCATTTGCAAGAATTACACAAGATTGAGACTGTTAGCTTATGGACTAACAAGCATGGACTATCCATAACAATGTTATGGACTAATCGTTAGTTCTTGATTAATAACTAATTAATGAACCTAATAAAGTTTATGCTTACGAAAATTGGAAACTTCTTATGACTGCTATCCATCTCTTAATGAGATGTCGCGGTGCAGTTAAACATTTCTCTTCTCTAGAATACTGGTAACAAAGATGCTGAAGGCAACTGCGTAGCGGATAAGTTGGCAAGAAAGAGTATCTCACTTTTTTTATGAAATTTTTTTACAAAAAAAAATCATTTTGGCTCAATGTTTAGTGAAGAACTAAATTTTATAAATTTGTATAATATTTTTTTGTACATGACGTATAACATATGTTATAACATATGATTAGGTAAATACATATATATGTATTTATTTATTTATTACATATGATTTATTTATTACATATGATTAGGTAAATACATATATATGTATTTATTTATTTATTACATACGATTTATTTATTACTTATGATTAGGTGAATACATATATATGTATTTATCTAATTTAGTTATCTAATCGAATCTAATTTACCTAATCATATATATGTATTTACCTAATCTGAATTTCATTAATGATATAACTTGAAGATTCGTTGACCTTATTTGTTGCTGAAGCGTACTGCACTTTAATTTTTAATTATTTAATATTATAATTTTTATTATTCTTTTTTTAAATTTAATAAGTCTCTTTTACTAAACCACTATTAATTACTTTTTATATAAACACTATAGTAACTGATAAATTTTGAAAGACACTACTATATTCCAATATTATTTACAATATTTTGGTTAACAGCTACAAGCTAAACGATAGCATATTACTGAATATTCCTGTCTCTATTAGGGAATGGACCTACCTAGCAATTATGATATATTAGGCATTTTAAAAGTGTGAAACAAGCTTAAACTAAATATACATATTAAGTTTGAAGGCTATTGTTTTATTCGTAGAACATGCATAAATTCTTAATAAATTACTAAAATATTGTTATTATTTGGCATAAAACCATTCCTACCTGTCATGTTTATGCTTTCAAATAAGAATACAAGACTATGTAAGGCATATATCAATAGCTTAGCATGGCTTAAACAAGGCCATAACTATGAAATAATAAAACAGCTGCATAAGAGCTAAACTCAAAAGAACCTTTTCTAAACTCTGAATAATGGGTGTGTAAGTTACGCCAACAATTAAATTTGTTTTTATTTAAATGACAAAATAAAAACCAAAAATATAACTAAACATTATTTATGTTATTTATATCTAAATAAACTTTATGGTAATTTGCATATTACATTTTTTTTAAATTTAGTCA